GTTAATGTAGCTTAACAACAAAAGCAAGGCACTGAAAATGCCTGGATGGGTACTTACACCCCATAAACAATAAAGGTTTGGTCCTGGCCTTTCCATTAGTTCTAGGTAAAACTACACATGCAAGTATCCGCGCTCCTGTGAGAATGCCCTTAAAATCATACTTGACCAAAAGGAGCGGGCATCAAGCACACTACCAAGTAGCTCATGACGCCTTGCTTAACCACGCCCCCACGGGATACAGCAGTGATAAAAATTAAGCCATGAACGAAAGTTCGACTAAGCTATACCTATATTCTAGGGTTGGTAAATTTCGTGCCAGCCACCGCGGCCATACGATTAACCCAAATTAATGGAACAACGGCGTAAAGCGTGTTTAAGAGAACAACAAAATAAAGTTAAATTCTGACTAAGCTGTAAAAAGCCCTAGCCAAAATAAAAATAAACCACGAAAGTAACTTTACAGATCTCCGAGTACACGACAGCTAAGACCCAAACTGGGATTAGATACCCCACTATGCTTAGCTTTAAACCCAGATAATTTGCCCAACAATATTATTCGCCAGAGTACTACTAGCAACAGCCTAAAACTCAAAGGACTTGGCGGTGCTTTATATCCTCCTAGAGGAGCCTGTCCTATAATCGATAAACCCCGATAAACCTCACCAACTCTTGCTAATTCAGCCTATATACCGCCATCCTCAGCAAACCCTAAAAAGGAACTGCAGTAAGCACAAACACAAGACATAAAAACGTTAGGTCAAGGTGTAGCCCATGAGTTGGGAAGAGATGGGCTACATTTTCTTACTAAAGAACACTCAAATAACCACACGGAATCCCTCATGAAATAGGGGGCCTAAGGTGGATTTAGCAGTAAATCAAGAATAGAGAGCTTGATTGAATTAGGCCATGAAGCACGCACACACCGCCCGTCACCCTCCTCAAATATAACACCATAAACTAAACATATTAAGCATGTACAAGATATTAGAGGAGATAAGTCGTAACAAGGTAAGCGTACTGGAAAGTGCGCTTGGACACATCAAAGTATAGCTTAAACCAAAGCACCTAGTTTACACCCAGGAGATTCCACTCGCTTAATGGATACTTTGAACAAGAACTAGCCCGACCCACCCCAAACTCAACTCATATACACAACTAAACTAAAACATTTACCTACCATAAAAGTATAGGAGATAGAAATTATACTCGGCGCTATAGAGAAAGTACCGCAAGGGAAAGATGAAAGATAACCTACAAGTAAAAAACAGCAAAGATTACCCCTTTTACCTTTCGCATAATGAGTTAACTAGAATAATTTAGCAAAGAGACCTGAAGTTAAACACCCCGAAACCAGACGAGCTACCTACAAACAGTCCCATGGGACCAATCCGTCTATGTGGCAAAATAGTGGAAAGATTTGTAGTTAGAGGTGAAAAGCCTACCGAGCCTGGTGATAGCTGGTTGTCCAGGACAGAATATCAGTTCAAACTTAAACCCTGCCTAAAAAACCAATAATTTTAATGCAGGTTTAAAGTATAGTCTAAAAGGGGACAGCCTTTTAGACATAGGATACAACCTTTATTAGCGAGTAAGCACTATCAACACCATAGTTGGCCTAGAAGCAGCCATCAATTAAGAAAGCGTTAAAGCTCAACAACCACAATCACCCCAATATCTCAAATAGTATCCAACTCCTAATACTCAACTGGACTATTCTATTAATAAATAGAAGAATTACTGTTAATATGAGTAACAAGAAGAACTTCTCCCAGCACAAACTTATATCAGAACGGATGACCCACTGATAGTTAACAACAAAATGAGTTCAATCTACAAACAAGACACCCATTAAATAAGTTGTTGACCCAACACAGGAGTGCACCAAAGGAAAGATTAAAAGAAGTAAAAGGAACTCGGCAAACACAAACCCCGCCTGTTTACCAAAAACATCACCTCTAGCATACTAAGTATTAGAGGCACTGCCTGCCCAGTGACATCTGTTCAACGGCCGCGGTATCCTGACCGTGCAAAGGTAGCATAATCACTTGTTCCCTAAATAGGGACTTGTATGAATGGCCACACGAGGGTTTTACTGTCTCTTACTTCCAATCAGTGAAATTGACCTTCCCGTGAAGAGGCGGGAATATCCCAATAAGACGAGAAGACCCTATGGAGCTTCAATTAACTAGCCCAACAAGGACAAACAACAACCTACCAGGCATAACCACCCTATACTGTGGGCTAACAATTTAGGTTGGGGTGACCTCGGAGCATAGAAAAACCTCCGAGAGATAAAAGCCTAGACTAACAAGTCAAAGCATTATATCATTTATTGATCCAAACCACCTTTGATCAACGGAATAAGTTACCCTAGGGATAACAGCGCAATCCTATTTAAGAGTCCATATCGACAATAGGGTTTACGACCTCGATGTTGGATCAGGACATCCCAATGGTGCAGCAGCTATTAATGGTTCGTTTGTTCAACGATTAAAGTCCTACGTGATCTGAGTTCAGACCGGAGTAATCCAGGTCGGTTTCTATCTATTTAAGGCTCCCCCCAGTACGAAAGGACAAGGGAAGCAAGGCCCACTTTACATAAGCGCCTTAAAACTAATAGATGATCTAATCTAAATCTAATAGTAACTAATAACCCCGCCCTAGAAAAGGGCTTGTTAGAGTGGCAGAGCCCGGTAAATTGCATAAAACTTAAACTTTTATAACCAGAGGTTCAACTCCTCTCTCTAACAACATGTTCATAATTAACCTTTTAATAATAATCGTCCCCATCCTCCTCGCAGTGGCATTCCTCACTCTTGTAGAACGCAAAGTACTTGGCTACATGCAACTACGTAAAGGACCCAACGTTGTAGGCCCCTACGGGCTACTTCAACCAATCGCGGATGCTATTAAGCTCTTCACCAAAGAACCTCTTCGTCCCCTAACATCCTCCATCTCCATATTTATTATCGCACCCATCCTAGCCCTCACTCTAGCCCTAACAATATGAACCCCCCTGCCTATACCATACCCCTTAATTAATATAAACCTAGGAATTCTATTCATACTAGCTATATCAAGCCTAGCAGTATACTCAATCCTATGATCAGGATGAGCTTCAAACTCCAAGTACGCACTAATCGGAGCTCTCCGAGCAGTAGCACAAACAATTTCTTACGAAGTAACACTCGCAATTATTCTTCTATCTGTCCTACTACTAAGTGGATCCTTTACCTTACCAACCCTGATCACCACCCAAGAACATATCTGACTTATTGTCCCATCATGACCTCTAGCCATAATATGATTCATCTCAACCCTGGCAGAAACCAACCGAGCCCCTTTCGATCTTACAGAAGGTGAATCCGAGCTGGTCTCCGGGTTCAACGTAGAATATGCCGGAGGCCCTTTCGCACTTTTTTTCCTAGCAGAATATGCTAACATCATTATAATAAACATCTTCACAACCATCCTATTTCTAGGGGCATTCCACAACCCACTAATACCCGAACTATACACAATTAACTTCGTAACAAAATCTATACTCCTCACCATCTCATTCCTATGAGTACGAGCATCATATCCACGCTTCCGATACGACCAGCTCATGCATCTTTTATGAAAAAACTTCCTCCCACTAACGCTAGCTCTATGCATATGGCACGTAACAATACCCATTATTACAGCTGGTGTACCGCCCTTAACATAAGAAATATGTCTGACAAAAGAGTTACTTTGATAGAGTAAAACATAGGAGCTCAAACCTCCTTATTTCTAGAACCATAGGAATTGAACCTACACCTAAGACTTCAAAAATCTTCGTGCTACCTAACCCCACCACATTCTACACAGTAAGGTCAGCTAAATAAGCTATCGGGCCCATACCCCGAAAATGTTGGTTTACACCCTTCCCGTACTAATAAACCCCTTCATCCTTATCATAATCTCTTCCACTATCATCCTAGGAACACTTATCGTAATGGTAAGCTCACATTGGCTCCTTATCTGAATTGGATTCGAAATAAACATATTAGCCGTCATCCCAATGCTAATAAAACGATTTAACCCCCGAGCCATAGAAGCCTCCACTAAATATTTTCTCACTCAAGCAACCGCATCTATATTACTTATACTAGCAATCATCATCAATCTGCTATACTCAGGCCAATGAACCCTTACAAATATACTAGACCCAACCGCTTCCACCATTATAACCCTAGCCCTCTCCATAAAACTAGGACTATCCCCTTTCCACTTCTGAGTCCCCGAAGTGACACAAGGCATCCCACTATCATCAGGCCTGATCCTGCTTACATGACAAAAACTAGCCCCATTATCTGTTCTCTATCAAATCTCCCCCTCAATCAATCTAGATATTCTCCTCACAATTTCCATGCTATCAATTATAGTCGGCGGATGAGGAGGACTAAACCAAACCCAACTACGAAAAATCCTAGCATACTCCTCAATCGCCCATATAGGATGAATAACAGCTATTCTAGCCTATAACCCAACAATAACACTACTTAACCTAGTCCTATATATCCTAATAACCACCACCACCTTCATACTATTCATGTACAATTCATCCACCACCACTCTATCACTATCCCACTCATGAAATAAAACACCCCTAATCACCGCATCAATCCTAGCAATAATATTATCCTTAGGAGGCCTCCCCCCTCTAACAGGATTTATCCCCAAATGAATAATTATTCAAGAACTCACAAAAAACGACAGCATCATCATGCCCACGCTCATAGCTATTACAGCCCTACTCAACCTATACTTTTACATGCGCCTAGCATACTCTACATCCCTTACAATATTCCCATCAACTAATAACATAAAAATCAAATGACAATTCACAAGCACAAAACAAATACCTTGCCTAGCCCCAATAATCGTTATCTCAACACTCGCCCTCCCTCTAGCCCCAATACTATCAGTACTAAACTAGGAATTTAGGTTAAACCAGACCAAGAGCCTTCAAAGCTCTAAGTAAATGAAGTACATTTAATTCCTGCCAATAAGGACTGCAAGATTTCACCTTACATCAGCTGAATGCAAATCAACTACTTTAATTAAGCTAAGCCCTTCTAGATTGGTGGGCATCTACCCCACGAAACTTTAGTTAACAGCTAAAAACCCTACTCAACTGGCTTCAATCTACTTCTCCCGCCGCGAGAAAAAAAAGGCGGGAGAAGCCCCGGCAGGGTTGAAGCTGCTTCTTTGAATTTGCAATTCAACATGAAATACACCACAAGGCTCTGGTAAAAAGAGGACTCAACCTCTGTACTCAGATTTACAGTCTAATGCCTACTCAGCCATTTTACCTATGTTCATCAACCGTTGACTCTTTTCAACTAATCACAAAGACATTGGCACCTTATATCTGCTATTTGGCGCTTGAGCAGGCATAGTAGGTACCGCCCTAAGTCTTCTAATCCGAGCCGAACTAGGTCAGCCAGGAGCCCTTTTAGGCGACGATCAAATTTATAATGTAATTGTTACTGCCCATGCATTCGTAATAATTTTCTTCATAGTAATGCCCATTATAATTGGTGGCTTTGGCAATTGACTAGTCCCTTTAATAATTGGTGCGCCCGATATAGCATTCCCTCGTATAAATAACATGAGCTTCTGACTATTACCACCCTCATTCCTACTCCTTTTAGCCTCATCAATAGTTGAAGCAGGAGCCGGAACTGGCTGGACCGTATACCCCCCTCTAGCAGGTAACCTGGCCCACGCAGGAGCTTCAGTGGACTTAACCATTTTCTCTCTCCACCTGGCAGGGGTTTCATCCATCCTAGGGGCTATTAACTTCATTACAACAATTATTAATATAAAACCTCCAGCCCTTTCCCAATACCAAACACCACTATTCGTATGATCCGTACTCATTACCGCCGTTCTCCTACTCCTATCACTCCCTGTCCTAGCAGCGGGGATCACTATATTATTAACTGACCGAAACCTAAACACAACCTTTTTTGATCCCGCTGGAGGAGGAGACCCAATCCTCTACCAACACCTATTCTGATTCTTCGGGCATCCCGAAGTCTACATTCTTATTCTCCCAGGGTTCGGAATAATCTCACATATCGTTACATACTACTCAGGTAAAAAAGAGCCATTTGGATACATGGGAATAGTCTGAGCTATAATATCAATCGGCTTCCTTGGTTTTATTGTATGAGCCCACCACATATTTACTGTAGGCATAGACGTAGACACCCGTGCATACTTCACTTCTGCCACTATAATTATTGCCATTCCCACAGGGGTAAAAGTCTTCAGCTGATTAGCCACATTGCATGGGGGAAATATTAAATGATCTCCCGCTATACTATGAGCCCTCGGGTTCATTTTCCTGTTTACAGTTGGAGGGCTGACTGGTATTGTTTTGGCCAACTCATCTCTAGATATTGTTCTCCACGACACATATTATGTTGTAGCACACTTCCACTATGTTCTATCCATAGGAGCGGTATTCGCTATCATAGGGGGCTTCGTCCACTGATTCCCCCTATTCTCAGGCTACACACTAAACATGACCTGAGCAAAAATCCATTTCTTAATTATATTTGTAGGCGTTAACATAACCTTCTTTCCTCAACACTTTCTTGGCTTATCCGGAATGCCACGACGCTATTCTGACTACCCTGACGCCTATACCACTTGAAATACTGTGTCCTCCATGGGCTCTTTTATTTCACTAACAGCCGTCATCCTAATAGTCTTCATAGTATGAGAAGCCTTCGCATCAAAACGAGAAGTCGCATCAGTAGAACTGACAACAACAAATCTAGAGTGAATGCACGGGTGCCCACCACCTTACCATACATTCGAAGAACCAACCTATGTAATTCCAAAATAAGAAAGGAAGGAATCGAACCCCCTTATATTGGTTTCAAGCCAACACCATATCCACTATGTCTTTCTCTACCAGTGAGATATTAGTAAAATTTACATAACTTTGTCAAAGTTAAATTATGGGTGGAACCCCCTTATATCTCTATGGCGTATCCCTTTCAATTAGGCTTCCAAGATGCCACATCCCCCATTATAGAAGAACTATTACACTTCCACGACCACACACTAATAATTGTCTTCTTAATTAGCTCCCTTGTACTTTATATTATTTCAGTCATATTAACAACTAGCCTTACCCATACAAGCACAATAGATGCACAAGAAGTAGAGACAATCTGAACCATTCTCCCCGCTATTATCCTTATCATAATTGCCCTTCCATCGCTACGAATCCTCTATATAATAGATGAGATCAACAATCCAACCCTAACTGTAAAAACAATAGGCCACCAATGATATTGAAGCTATGAATACACAGACTATGAAGACCTTAACTTCGACTCCTATATAATCCCAACCTCTGACCTAAAACCAGGGGAACTGCGCTTACTAGAAGTAGATAATCGAGTAGTCCTACCCATGGAAATAACTATCCGTATACTAATTTCATCAGAAGATGTCCTACACTCATGAGCTGTGCCCTCCCTAGGCCTAAAAACTGATGCCATCCCGGGCCGTCTAAACCAAACTACTCTACTGTCAACACGACCTGGCCTCTACTATGGTCAATGCTCCGAAATTTGCGGGTCAAACCACAGTTTTATGCCAATTGTCCTTGAAATAGTTCCCCTGAAACACTTTGAAAAATGGTCATCATCAATGCTCTAATATCATTAAGAAGCTAAAGTAGCATTAACCTTTTAAGTTAAAGACTGAGGACCTACCCCTCCTTAATGAAATGCCACAACTAGATACATCCACATGACTTATTACTATTCTACCAATAGTCTTCACCCTATTCATTATCATACAATTAAAAATTTCAAACCACATCTTTCACTCCAGCCCAGAGCCCACAGAAGTTAAATCACTAAAACACTCTACCCCCTGAGAAGCTAAATGAACGAAAATCTGTTCTCCTCTTTCATTACCCCTACTATAATAGGCCTGCCTATCGTAGTTCTCATTGTCATTTTCCCTAGTATACTATTTCCCTCAACTAACCGACTAGTCAATAATCGACTAATCGCCATCCAACAATGGCTACTTCATATAACATCAAAACAAATGATAATAATCCACAATCATAAAGGCCAATCCTGAACTCTAATATTAATATCACTCATCCTTTTTATTGGCTCAACAAACCTTCTAGGCCTTCTTCCACACTCATTTACACCCACCACTCAACTGTCCATAAACCTAGGCATAGCCATTCCCCTATGGGCCGGGACTGTACTTCTAGGATTTCGCTATAAGACAAAAGCCTCTTTAGCCCATTTTTTACCACAAGGAACCCCTCTGCCCCTCATCCCAATACTAGTAATTATCGAAACTATTAGCCTGTTCATCCAACCAATAGCCCTCGCTGTACGACTAACAGCCAACATCACCGCCGGACATCTGCTAATTCACCTAATCGGAGGGGCTACCCTAGCTCTACTAGGCATTAGCACAACTACAGCTTTCATCACCTTCATCATCTTAATTATATTAACCATTCTAGAATTTGCTGTCGCTCTAATTCAAGCCTATGTCTTCACACTACTAGTGAGCCTCTACCTACATGACAATACCTAATGACCCACCAAACCCACGCATATCATATAGTCAACCCCAGCCCTTGACCGCTCACAGGAGCCCTCTCCGCCCTCCTCCTAACCTCTGGCCTAGTCATGTGATTTCATTTCAACTCCATACTTCTCCTATCCCTAGGCCTGATAACCAACACACTAACTATATATCAATGATGGCGGGATATTATCCGAGAAAGCACCTTTCAAGGACACCATACACCAATCGTACAAAAGGGCCTCCGGTATGGAATGATTCTATTCATTACCTCAGAAGTATTCTTCTTCGCCGGCTTCTTCTGAGCCTTCTATCACTCAAGCCTAGCCCCAACCCCAGAGCTAGGAGGATGCTGACCCCCTACAGGCATTACCCCCCTAAATCCCCTAGAGGTCCCTCTCCTCAACACATCTGTCCTTCTAGCCTCAGGAGTATCCATTACCTGAGCCCACCACAGCCTTATAGAAGGCAACCGTAACCACATGCTACAAGCCCTGTTCATTACAATTGCCCTAGGACTATACTTCACATTACTCCAAGCCTCAGAGTATTATGAAACCCCCTTTACAATCGCAGATGGGGTATATGGCTCAACATTCTTTATAGCCACTGGATTCCACGGCCTTCACGTAATCATTGGGTCAACCTTTTTAATTGTATGCTTCCTACGCCAACTAAAATTCCACTTCACATCCAACCACCACTTCGGATTTGAAGCTGCCGCCTGATATTGACACTTTGTAGACGTCGTTTGACTATTCCTATACGTGTCTATCTATTGATGAGGATCATATTCTTTTAGTATTAAATAGTACAGTTGACTTCCAATCAATTAGCTCTGGTATACCCCAGAAAAGAATAATAAATCTCGTATTAACCCTCCTAACAAATACCCTGCTATCTTCATTACTTGTAATTATTGCATTCTGACTCCCACAAACCAATGTTTACTCAGAAAAAGCTAGCCCATATGAATGTGGGTTTGACCCCATGGGATCAGCTCGCCTCCCTTTCTCTATAAAGTTCTTCCTGGTCGCAATTACATTTCTACTCTTTGACCTAGAAATTGCTCTACTCCTACCCCTACCATGAGCCTCCCAAGCCAACGACCTAAAGACTATACTTACAATATCTCTACTCCTCATCTCCCTCCTGGCCATCAGCCTAGCCTACGAATGATCCCAAAAAGGCCTAGAGTGAACCGAATAATGATAATTAGTTTAAACAAAATAAATGATTTCGACTCATTAGATTATGAACATATTCATAATTATCAAATGGCCCTAATCTACATAAACACCATTCTGGCCTTCACAGTATCACTGCTAGGCCTACTACTATATCGATCTCACCTGATATCCTCACTCCTATGCTTAGAGGGTATAATATTATCTATGTTCGTAATAGCAACAGTAATTATCCTAAACGCACATCTCACCCTATCAAGCATAGTACCTATTATTCTACTAGTATTCGCCGCTTGCGAAGCGGCCCTCGGCCTCTCACTGCTCGTTATAGTATCAAACACCTACGGAGTTGACTACGTACAAAACCTAAGCCTTCTACAATGCTAAAAATTATTATCCCTACAGCCATACTAATTCCCCTTGCATGACTATCAAAACACAGCATAATCTGAATTAACTCAACAGTATATAGCCTCCTAATCAGCCTCCTAAGCCTCCCACTCCTTAATCAATTCAACGACAATAGTCTAAACACTTCACTCATGTTTTTTTCCGACTCCCTATCAGCACCTTTACTAATATTAACTATGTGATTACTACCACTCATACTAATCGCCAGCCAGCACCATCTATCCAAAGAATCACTTACCCGAAAAAAACTATTTATTACCATGCTAGTTCTACTCCAAGTATTCTTAATCATAACTTTCACTGCCACAGAACTAATTATATTCTATATCCTATTTGAAGCAACACTTCTTCCTACCCTAATTATTATTACACGCTGAGGAAATCAAACAGAACGGTTGAACGCAGGCCTTTACTTCTTATTCTACACGCTAGTGGGGTCTCTCCCCCTTCTAGTAGCACTAATATATATCCAAAACCTTGTAGGGTCCCTAAATTTCCTACTAATAGGGTACTGAATAAAACCTCTATCCACCACCTGAAGCAACGTATTTCTATGGTTAGCATGCATGATGGCATTCATAGTAAAAATACCCCTCTATGGGCTCCACCTCTGACTACCAAAAGCACATGTAGAAGCCCCCATTGCCGGCTCAATGGTCTTAGCCGCCATCCTACTAAAATTAGGCGGCTATGGCATACTACGAATTACAATTGCACTAACCCCCGTAACCAGCTCTATGGCATACCCATTCCTAATATTATCCCTCTGAGGAATGATCATAACCAGCTCAATTTGCCTGCGCCAAACTGACCTAAAGTCTCTCATCGCATATTCCTCTGTTAGCCACATAGCTTTGGTCATTGTAGCAGTCCTAATCCAAACACCATGAAGCTATATAGGAGCAACAGCCCTAATAATCGCCCACGGCCTCACCTCCTCAATACTATTTTGCCTAGCAAACTCCAACTACGAGCGCATCCATAGCCGAACTATAATCCTAGCCCGAGGACTACAAACTATCTTTCCCCTAATAGCGGCCTGATGACTACTAGCAAGCCTCACTAATCTGGCCCTACCACCAACAATTAACTTAATCGGAGAACTATTCGTAGTCATAGCAACATTCTCATGGTCTTCTACTTCCATTATTCTCATAGGTACCAACATCGTCATTACTGCCCTCTACTCTCTATATATACTTATTACAACTCAACGAGGAAAACAAACACACCACATTAACAACCTCCCTCCCTCCTTTACCCGAGAAAATATACTCATAGCCATACATCTGCTACCACTACTTCTCCTATCCATCAACCCCAAAATCATCCTAGGACCCCTATACTGTAAATATAGTTTAACAAAAACATTAGATTGTGAATCTAATAATAGAATCTAAAGCTTCTTATTTACCAAGAAAGTATGCAAGAACTGCTAATTCATGCCCCCATACCTAACAATATGGCTTTCTTACACTTTTAAAGGATGGTAGTTATCCATTGGTCTTAGGAACCAAAAAATTGGTGCAACTCCAAATAAAAGTAATAAATATATCCACCCCCTCAGTCCTAGTTTCCCTTCTAATGCTTTTAGCACCTATCATCTCAACCACCCTCAACCTCCACAAAAACAACTCCTACCCCCATTACGTAAAAACAACCATCGCTTATGCCTTCACAATTAGCCTCATCCCTATGATAATATTTATCCAGTCAGGGCAAGAAACTATCTTATCAAACTGACATTGAATTACTATTCAAACCATCAAACTTTCTCTCAGCTTCAAGCTAGATTACTTCTCAATAATTTTCATGCCCGTAGCACTATTCGTTACATGGTCTATCATAGAATTCTCCATATGGTACATGCACACAGACCCTTATATTAATCGATTCTTCAAATACCTACTAATATTCCTCATCACCATACTTATCTTAGTCACTGCCAACAATCTGTTCCAACTCTTTATCGGATGAGAAGGAGTAGGAATTATGTCCTTCTTACTAATCGGCTGATGATACGGCCGAGCAGATGCAAACACCGCAGCCCTGCAAGCCATCCTATATAACCGAATCGGAGACATCGGCTTCCTAGCAGCCATGGCATGATTCCTCTTCAACTCCAACACATGAGATCTGCAACAAATCTTCTCACTCAACCTTAACAACACTAACTTCCCCCTAATAGGGCTAGTCCTTGCTGCAACAGGGAAATCAGCCCAATTCGGACTCCACCCATGACTACCCTCAGCCATAGAAGGTCCAACACCTGTCTCAGCCCTACTCCACTCCAGCACAATGGTCGTAGCAGGTGTATTTCTCCTCATTCGATTTTATCCACTAATCGAAAACAACTACCCCATCCAATCCACAATCCTATGTCTAGGAGCTATCACCACCCTATTCACCGCAATCTGCGCCCTCACCCAAAACGACATCAAAAAAATTGTAGCCTTTTCCACCTCCAGTCAACTAGGTCTAATAATAGTAACAATTGGTATTAACCAACCTCACCTAGCGTTCCTCCATATCTGCACCCACGCATTCTTCAAAGCCATACTATTCCTATGCTCCGGATCAATTATTCACAGCCTTAACGATGAACAAGACATCCGAAAAATAGGAGGCCTATTCCATACCCTACCCTTTACCACTACTGCCCTAACTGTAGGCAGCCTAGCATTAACAGGAATACCTTTCCTAACAGGATTTTACTCCAAAGACCTGATCATTGAGTCCGCCAACACGTCTTATACCAACGCCTGAGCCCTAACAATTACCCTTATTGCCACCTCCCTGACTGCTGTCTACAGCACCCGCATTATCTTCTTCGCCCTACTCGGCCAACCACGCTTCCCTACACTCATTATTATCAACGAAAACAATCCCTACCTAATAAACTCCATCAAACGCCTCCTGATCGGAAGCATCTTCGCCGGATTCCTCCTTACCAACAACATTGTTCCAATAACTATCCCACAAATAACTATACCCCTCTACTTAAAGATAACAGCCCTATCCGTAACTATCCTAGGCTTTACCATTGCCATAGACCTCAACACAGCCACACAAAACCTAAAATTTAAACGCCCCCTAGCCCCCTCCAAATTCTCCACCCTTCTCGGCTACTTCCCAACAGTCATACACCGCTCCCTCCCCTTAATAAACCTCATCCTAGGCCAAAAAATAGCCTCTCTCCTACTAGACTTAGCCTGACTAGAAATCGCACTACCCAAATCAATCTCCCAACTTCAAATAAAAACCTCAACTTTAATTTCCAGTCAAAAAGGCCAAATCAAATTATATTTCCTCTCTTTCTTCCTTACACTCGCCCTAACCCTACTTATATTTAATTTCCACGAGTAACCTCCATAACAACTACAACCCCAATTAATAAAGACCACCCAGTAACAACCACCAACCAAGCCCCATAACTATATAAAGCAGCCACCCCCACTGCCTCCTTACTAACAACCCCTGAATCCCCAACATCATAGACTACTCAATCCCCCATACTACTAAACTCAAACAGAACCTCAAACCCATCCCCACTCAACACACACAATACAAACACAACTTCCATAACCAAACCAAAAATAAAAGATCCCAACACAACCTTATTAGACACCCAAACTTCGGGGTACTGCTCCGTAGCCATAGCAGTGGTATAGCCAAAAACCACCAACATCCCACCCAAATAAATCAAAAACACCATTAATCCTAAAAAAGACCCACCATAACTTATCACAATTCCACATCCAACCCCACCACCAATAATTAACCCTAACCCCCCATAAATAGGAGAAGGCTTAGAGGAAAACCCAACAAAACTAACAACAAAAATAGTACTTAAAATTAATACAATATACGTCATCATCATTCCCACATGGAATTTAACCACGACCAGTAGCATGAAAAACCACCGTTGTATTTCAACTATAGGAACACAATGACCAACATCCGCAAATCCCACCCACTATTCAAAATTATCAACGACTCATTCATTGATCTCCCCACCCCCTCAAGTATCTCATCCTGATGAAACTTCGGCTCCCTCTTAGGCATGTGCCTAGCAATCCAAATCCTGACAGGCCTATTCCTAGCAATACATTACACATCCGACACCGCCACCGCCTTTTACTCCGTAACCCATATCTGCCGAGACGTCAACTACGGCTGAATCCTACGATATCTCCACGCCAACGGAGCTTCCATATTCTTCATCTGCCTGTTTCTACACGTAGGCCGAGGCATTTACTATGGCTCCTACACATACACAGAAACATGAAACATCGGAATTATTCTCCTCTTCACCGTCATAGCAACAGCATTTATAGGGTATGTCCTCCCATGAGGACAAATATCTTTCTGAGGCGCAACAGTCATCACCAACCTTCTCTCAGCCATCCCCTATATTGGAACCAACCTCGTAGAGTGGGTCTGAGGTGGCTTCTCCGTAGACAAAGCCACTCTCACTCGATTCTTTGCCCTCCACTTTCTTCTTCCATTCATCATTACAGCCCTAGTAATGGTACACTTGCTATTCCTACACGAAACAGGCTCAAATAACCCCACAGGAATTCCATCAGACGCAGACATAATCCCATTCCACCCCTATTACACAATCAAAGACATCCTAGGACTGATACTTATACTCATAGCCCTTATATCCCTAGTACTATTTTCACCAGACTTACTGGGAGACCCAGACAACTACACTCCAGCCAACCCACTCAACACCCCACCCCATATCAAGCCAGAATGGTATTTTCTATTTGCCTACGCCATCCTACGATCAATCCCAAATAAACTAGGAGGGGTGGTAGCCCTAGTCCTATCCATCCTCATCCTAGCTGCAATTCCCCTGCTTCACACATCAAAACAACGTAGCATAACTTTCCGACCGATCAGTCAATGCCTGTTCTGACTTCTAGTCGCAGACCTTCTTACACTAACATGAATCGGCGGACAGCCTGTAGAACACCCATTTATCCTTATCGGACAGCTAGCTTCTATCCTCTACTTTCTTATCATCCTAGTCCTCCTCCCACTCGCAAGCATCGCAGAAAACCATCTCCTTAAATGAAGAGTCTATGTAGTATATTAATTACTCTGGTCTTGTAAACCAGAAAAGGGGAACAACAACTTCCCCCAAAGACTCAAGGAAGAGACTTCAAGTCCCACTATCAACACCCAAAGCTGAAATTCTACATTAAACTATTCCTTGCACCCCTATATGAATGGATTCATCACTACCCCATGTAACACCCCCGTATTAAATTTTATCAAACACCAACCACTGCCCTATGTAATTCGTGCATACTTTCATATACCACAATCATTATATACATACATACTATGTAAATAGTACATTAATTATTTACCCCATGAATAATAAACATGGACATATAAATCAATTATAGTAAGATATATAATGTATAATCCACATGAACTTACATGTCAATATGAATATTCTTGACCATATTAAAATATATACAGTACATAGTACATTATATTATATATCGTACATACCACATTAAGTCAAATCAATTCCAGTCACCATGCGTATCACCTCCATTAGGTTATCTCTTGATTCACCAACTCACGTGAAACCAGCAACCCTTGCGAGAAGGATCCCTCTTCTCGCCACGGGCCCATGAACCGTGGGGGTTTCTAAGAATGGGGCGTAAACGGCATCTGGTTCTTTCTTCAGGGCCATCTCACCTAAAATCGCCTATTCTTTCCTCTTAAATAAGACATCACGATGGGTTAGTGACTAATCAGCCCATGCCGACACATAACTGTGGTGTCATGCCTTTGGTATCTTTTTTATTTCGGGGTATGCTTGGACTCAGCTATGGCCGTCAAAGGCCTTAACACAGTCAAATAAATTGTAGCTGGACTTATATTGAACCACGCGTCATTAGACATCAAAATCAAAGGGTACATAGCAGTCAATGGATCAGGACATAGAATCGGCCGGGGATGCTGTATAAAGTCAGATAACACACAGTCAATTAGGTCTAGCATATAATCCTAGAGGCGTTATTCAGTCAATGGTTTCAGGACATAATGAATTTTTCGGTATACGCATACGCATACGACGCATACGCATACGCATACGACGCATACGCATACGCATACGCATACGCATACGCATACGCATACGCATACGCATACGCATACGCACACGCACACGCATACGCATACGACCCATACCCATACCCATACGTACTAGGTTATTTTAGCAAACCCCCCTTACCCCCCGTTAAATCTAATATCATGCACAACTATCAATGTCTTGCCAAACCCCAAAAACAAGAACTAGCACATACATGATGCATTCGAGATTAATTTTTACTCATTTAGCGTTATTAACCTCTACGACTTAACGAAATATCACCATTCAACTTTTATTACCAACCTGATACAAACCTAGTACTTTAATGATTCCATTTTCCTTAGACAGCTACCCCTCTAGATTTGAAATCACCCCCCCATCCTTCAAAACCCAACTATTCATTTCGCACTTCCACTCTTTCCGGACTTCCCTTTCTTACCATGTAAGAATTT